CGGCGCCCGGGGAGCAGAAAGCAGCACCTGTGCTCACCGCCACAGAAAAGCTAAGTGCTTCCTTTGCACAATAATTAAAAAGCCAGAGTCATTCAAGCTGCTCACAGCCCTGGGCAGGGCTCTCCGGAGAGCGTGTCCATCCTCCCCTCAGGGAAGGGGCTCTGCGTCAACGCTGTGGCAGCCGCATGTGGCAGCCGCACGCCACCATCTCCCAGATGCGTCAAGTTCCGAAGTGACAGCTCAGAGCCTATCGCTGAGCTGGATTCAAACTGGAGAGTCATCAGAACTGAGGCTTCGGAGTGGGGTTCTCTGCGCACCTAGCAAACCCGGAGCATAGGGAGCAAGGGCCTGGTGGTGGTGTGGACGCAGGGGCGGCGGCTCCCCCTTCCCGAGCCCCACCCCCAAAGACTTAAGGGAGGTGGAAGCCACAGGGATATGCAGTTCTTGCCCTGCTCACCTGGGCAGGCTCAGGAAAGGCCCCCGTTGCACACCCAAGAAAGACACAGCACGGCTGGGTGATCCATGGTTGGGCGGTGGGTCCGTGTCCCATTGCAAGGCCCAGGACCTGTGGCTGGTGCTGTCCACCAGCTGCATCCCATCCTCTGGCTAAAGTCGCCCAAGTCCTTCCCCTTCCAGCTAGACCCACGGTGGCTACTTGGAGGGACGAGGCCGACAAGAAGAACGTACCAGAGCCACCGGGACCGGTTTCTGCCACTCCGTGGGCAGCTGGCCGCCTGCCTCACGCACCACATGTGTCCCGGCCACAGCGCCTTCCCACAGCCAGAGCTGGGTTCCCAGGGGCTTCTCAACGCCCTCCGCTAGCAAGGAGACGGTGGGGGCCCTTCCTGACGAGCGCCAGCCGAGGTCCCTGGCAGGGCGTCTCCGGTCAAGTCGCCGTAAACACGTGGGGCAATGTCGCGGGCACACAGAGCTGGCGGCCGGGCGGCTGGTGTGTCCGAAGCTGCAGACCTCACTGCCCCAAACATGCCGGAGCGGCTGCCCTGCGGGCCCCTGAGCCCGCCTATGGAAGGTACAACCAGACCACGTGGCGGCCTCTACCCCCAACAAACATTTTAAGCATCTAGTATGAGCCTTGCGCCCCAAGGCAAGGCCTCTGGCTCCTCTCCATGCTCCAGAGGAGAAAAAGATTTTGGGTCAGCGTGGGCGGCCTCATCTGTACACACGCACACGCACATGCACACGTGGCCTGAAAAAGCCCCAAGATGACTTTAAATATACCTGTGTGATCATAGCGTCCTCCTGAGCCACCTTGGGGCTCCACCCAGAGGCCCCCCCCCCCAAGTCCCCCCAGCCCCAGGCAGGGACAGGGCCCTCCGGCACACTCGAGGTGCCCCCACTCTGCCCTGCACAGCGCTCCTACACGGAAAGCGGGTGCGTGCACAGGAGCGCATCACACTCAGGCATGCACCTTTCCCACCCATTAGAGCCGTCCACACACGGCTGTCCGGACACCCACGGGCACCTCCCTGTGTCAGGAAACAGAGGGCTTGTCTGGGAGGAGAACAGAAGAACTGCCCCGTGCCAGGCAGGTGGCGCCTGGGAACAGCCCGCAAAACCCTGCATCCTCAGGGAGCCCAAAGAGAAGCCTCAGGAAAGAATCTGCAACTCGGTCACTGACCCTTCGTGGGGAGGGGAAGTCCCGGTAACAGTGCCCAGAGTCGGCCACACTGCAGCTGTCCCCGAGACCCAAGCATGTGGACAAGCTGGCTGGGGACTCAGAGGCTGTGGTGCAGCTGGCTGGGGGGACACGGGTCACACCCACGGACCTGCAATCTGATACAAACAGAAACCCAAGTGGGTCCCCCCACCTCTGCTACCCTTCTCACTCACCTCTATCTTTCTGAGTCACTGCTGTAGCCTCTCCTGGCCCAAACCAGACAGCTCTAGGTCCCCCCAGACCCCCAGACCCATGGCGGCCAGGCCTGGGCTGTGCCTCGGGCCCTGAGAACCTTCCCACGGGCCTGGGCCACTTCCTGCTTCCCTGCAGGCACCACTCCCTAACATGGGCCTGGAGGGCGGGCCGAGACCTCCAGCCAGCCATGTGCCCTGGCAGGATGCCAGCCCCGGCTCTCTGTGCCCTCTGCCACCAGGGCTTGCAGGGTGCCACACTAGTCCCCGGGGTCGGAGGGGAAGGGCAGGGCTGTAGCGGAACCAGCAGCTCTGGGAAAGGCCAGAGGGCTCTGACCCAAAGGCCAGCACCGGCCGCTCTGGGGCAAGAGAGGCTCTCCCTAGGCCCCTGCCCCTTCCGTGACAACTGTCACCTCCATGGCAGTGATATCTGCACCTGGGGAAGGAGCGGAGTAAGAAAGGCAGTGCCCAGTGATGCTCCGGGGCGCCTAGGACCTGGGGCCCCACCTCCCGGGCTAGGCACGGGGCCCAGACGGGGGGCCAGGCACCGAGGTAGACATTCCTGCAGCCCAGAGATCCAGAAGCCCTTCCGGGGCCCCCAGGTGCTTGACCTTACAGCCTGGGGGCTGGTCCCACCAGCAGGAGGCAGGGGTATCATCCCTCCTCTCTCACCTCCGCACCGTTCCGGCAGCACGCACACCTTTCAGGACATGGCCCGCCCGAGCTCCAGGGAGGGAGGAAAGCCAGGCGCCCGGACTCCGGCTGGCCCTGCGGGGAGCCCTGGTGCAGGAAGTTGCCTTACAGAAGCCCCCTCCCCCCAGACCCTCAGAGGAGCGGAGAAAGGTCTTCCCCCTCCCAGCTGAAGACAGCCTCCCTCACCCAACAGCTGTGTCCACCGCTGCTCCCCCTCCAGCCCAGGCAGATTATACTCCCCGGCCCAGTCTGATCTCTCTGGGGCAGGGGGTCCTCACACAGCTTCCTTTCCCTGGTGGGGGTGAGTCTTCACCCCTTCCCTGGGGGGCTCCCTACCTAGCCCGACCTTCTCCCCTGCCCTGGGTTGGGACACAAGCCAGTCACGTCTTTTCTTTCCTGGGCTCTGGGCCAGTCACCTGGATGGACAGGACACGTGGCATCCTGAGACACTATGGGTAAAGGTGGCCCACCGCGGCCTACTCCCAGGCCACCTGGAAGCCAGGTCGGCTAGCCCTCCTCACCCGGCTGAGCAAATGGAGACGCCCAAACAGAAAACGACAAGCCCCAAATACCCAGCCATTAAAAGGCCAAATTCCTGCCCTTTGTGTCACACAGTCCACCTGCCTCCCACACCGAGTCAGGGCCCTTTTGAGAACTGCCCTTGAACACCTGCTTCCACGAGGAGTGCCCTTGCCCCTGTGCCCTGTTGCCGCCCTCTCGCCCCAACGGGGCCTCTCCTGCAGGCTGGATGGAGGGGGAGCTGCTAGGGGCCGCACACCCAAAAATGGCCGCATTGGGGGCACGTGCGCGCCAAGGGAGCAGACAGACAGCAGCCACGAGCACCTGCCGGTCCCTGGAGTAAGCTGGTCCCGTGCGGCCGCTCCCGTTCCCCGAGGCAGGCGGGGGGAGGGGGTACTCACGGCAGCGGAAGTGGAGGTGGGCCTGGGAGGGGGCGCTGGCGGGGACTGGAGTCCCTCCGCCCGGGGAGAGGCGCAGCGGCCCTACCTGGGGGCGCATCTGCCGTCGTCGAACACGAAGGTCCGGTTGGTGTGGCCCCCGCCGCGGGCCGCCGGCCGCGCCCCCCTGCACGAGCCCCCCGGGCTGCGCGCTCCGTCGGGGAGCGGCATGCGGGGCGGCGGCGGCTCGGATGCGGAGCCGAGGGCGAAGCTCCTTTGCTTTACCCCGAAACACAACACTTTTCTGCCTCCTGGCAGAGGTGAAAAAAAAAAAAAAAAAAAAAAAGCCGGTTCCAGGGTCGGGGTTCGGGCGCCAGGCCGGGTGCGCCCCCTGCCGGCTGCGCCCGGAACCGCGGCGGCTGAGGGCCGGGCGGGGACGCAGCTGGGTGGGCGCCTCCCCACCTCGGGACCCCGCCCCCATCAGGGCGCTCGGGGACACTTCGGTGGCCGGAGAACCCCAAGCGCGCCACAGGGCGACTAGCCCCTGGGGGGAGGGCTCCGCCCGCCCCTGGACGTCCCGCAAGAGAAGCGGACAGCTGGGGAGAGCACGGACACCGAGCCCCCCCGAGACCCGCAGGATGAGCTGGGGGGCGGAGAATCCGGGGGCCCACGGCAGGCAGGGGGCACAGGCGTGGCAGGGGGCTGGGATGGGGCAGGGAAGGCACTGGGGGGGGGGGTGAGGTGACGTCGGGGGTGGGCGGGGAGCTGTCAGGGTGCCCCCTGGCGCCTGGGTGGATCAGGACGCTTAGTTTGGGTGGAGCGCCCCGCAAGAGGAGCTTTGGGGGACAGGCACACGTGGACCTGCAGGCCGCCGGCGGTGGGTGCGGGGACCTCCAACCCACCCCTAACTGACCCCTGGGCCCCACACGTCTTGGTGAGCATTTCTCAGGCCGGCCTCCCCTCAACCCTGGGACCCCCTACCTAGGCCTCACCGTCCGCCCCAGATGCCCCGGCCCCCAGCAGCTCTCTCGTCCCTTCCCCCACCCGCGCCTGCCCTGCCTCGGGTAACACCAACTGCTGCGTCGGGGTGCAGCCGGCCGCCCCGGGCCTCCGGCCGCCGGCCCACGTGCCAGCCTGCGCCCCCGCCGGTTCCCGCTTGCGGCGCCGGCGCCCGGCCTGCCCCCAAATCGCCGCGTCCGCCCTCCGCCCTCCGCCCCGCGGTGGCCGCTTACCGCGCCCTCCTCCCTCGTCCGGCCCCCCAGGGCGTCTCGCCCCCCTGTAGACCCGGCCCCGGGGAGGCGGGCCGCCCCCCGGAGAGCAGGGAGGGGGGCCCCTCGGGCTGGGCCGCACGCCGCCCTGGAGCGGGCACGCCGAGGCCGCCACTTTCTGGCAACTTCTGGCGGGAGAAACTCAGGCCCAGGGCGAGTGGGGGCGGGGCCGCGGGCGCACGTGGGGCGGGCGGCGTGCACGTGAGTGGGCGGGGCCCGCGGGCGCACGCGTCAGGGCGCGTGGGGGTCTCGGGCGGGGGTGGCGTCTGTGCTCATGGCGTCGGGGGGAGCTGAGCCTGGCGCCCGCGGGTGCAGGTGAGGACCTGGGGGGCTGGAGGGGGTCAGGGGTGCTGGGCGGGGGGGACCCAGTGCGACCGGGACCAAGCTGCAGGCCCCTCCCCCAGGGCGCGTGGGGCAGGCCCTGTGGGGGGAAGGCGGGCCCCCCGAGGACGTCCCCGCGGCTTTCTGGGGTTCACGGAGCTCGGCGCCCCGGCCTCTCCCATCCAGCGCCCAGGGCCGCCGCGAAGACCAGGCGGCCGAGCGTGCGGGCTCCGGCCTCCCGCGGAATGTGCTCAGCGAGAGGGAGCGCAGGTGGGCGGCGCTGGGGGAGGACGGGCCGGGGGGCCGGGGGGCCGGGGGGCCCTGACCTGTGGCTCTGCGGGTGTTGTCGGCCGCTGGGACGGGGCTTGCGGGGTCTGTGCAGTCAGGGGATGGCTAGCAGGTGCCCGTGGTGAACGAGAAGCCCCAGGGGAGGGTCCTCCACTGCAGCCCCCCTTGACCGGAGTTGGGGGCGTCTGGAGTTGGCGCGCTGGCGTCGAGGCCCCTGGTGGCCCAGGGCCCCGCTGGCGGTGGCCGGCCGGGCCCCGGCGGCCTGCTATTTGCAGAGCTCACTCATGGGGGGGAGAGGGTTCCTGTTCTTCAAGCTGGAGACCCGGAGGTGCCCGCGAGGAGGGGTGACCTGGCCGCCAGGGCTGGGGGTGCTGATGGGCCTCGTTGCTTGTCTGGAAGCAGGAAGCGGATCTCGGTGAGCTGCGAGCGCCTGCGGGCCCTGCTGCCCCGCTTCGCCGGCCGGAGGGAGGACATGGCCTCGGTCCTCGAGATGTCGGTGCAGTTCCTGAGGCTGGGGGGCGGCCAGCATCAGCCCGGCGTGAGTGCCGGCCCGTGGGCACCCTGCAGGGCAGTGGCTGCAGGTCTTAACCCAGGGAGGCAGCTCTGACCTCCCTGCTCCCGCCTCCCCCAGCCCTGCGCGCCCAGCAGGGCAGGCATGACCTCCGCAGGCGTGTTTGTGCTGGATCCGCCTCCACCAGTGAGGCAGGAACCCCCCCCCCCCAGCGCCCGCCCCCCGCCGAGCGGTCATCACTTAAATCCCTGGTGACGCCTTCTCTGCTTTTCCAGACCAGAGTCTGCACTGGGGTGATTCCCTGACCACATCTGTCCCAATTCTAGGCTCTCGCTCTGTCCAAGGAGACGTGGCACAAGTGGCAGAGGGACATCTTGCAGCTAGCCCTGTCGAGTCCGACCTCAGCAGGCGCACCGGACTCCGGGGTGGCAGTGCCGGGGGCGACTGAGTGAGTGTCCCCCGCGTGGCCAGGGAGCCCGTCAGGGCAGCAGAAGCAGACTGTTCAGGGCGCCTTCTGTGTTTTTGTCCTTCAGGCCTCAGGCTGCTCCTCGCCGTGCGACCGCGGGTGTGGCCCAGGCCCCGCCGGGGGCGGCCGCAGTGCTGGACGGGCCGCCGGGCCGCCCCGGTGAGCAGAAGTGCAGGGCAGGTCTGCTCGTCAGTGGGGCCCAGATGCTTGCTGTCCGTTCTCTCAATGTGACAAGTGCGCTTGTCGGGGGAGCGTTGGGGGAGACCCCACACCGCCCTCGGCTGCTGTGCAGACCTCAGGGCAGGGGTCGCCTCGAGGGGCGGGTGTGCGGGGCAGCTGTGAGCGGTGGCTGTTCTCTTTGTCCGAGTGTCTGCTGGGGAGCGGCGGCCAAGCCCGCAGGTCTCTTCACTTCTCCCCAGGGAGGCGCCCCTGCCCCTCCTCTGCCCTGGGCCTCGCGTGCTCCCTGGGTCCCCCAGGAAACAAGTTGGCCCCCGCTGTGTCCAGCTCTCTCCAGCGGCCCCCACACTGCCCTGCTCTCCTCGGGTGCCTTTTTCATTGTTTTTTTCTGTAACCGAGTGAGTCACCGGCTGTGTTCTCTGTGCTGTGCCAGCCAAGCCTGTGGGCACCTCTGATGTCTCCCTCGTGCTGACCCCGCACCCCAGCTATTTGTCACTCCTCGGACACGGGTGCTGGTGATTGCCCTGTGCCAGAGTCCCCGAGTGCCACGGCGGGGAGGATGTGTCCGCCAGAGAGGGGAGGGGGCTTGCTGTCAGGGCTGGTGGCAGAGCCAGGGCCGCAGGCAGGGCGTGAGGGTGCAGAGGTCACGTGCCAAGGGAGCTAGGTCTGAGGGTAGAGGCCAGGATCAGGGATTGGGGGCAGATGGGGGTAGGGTCCCAGCTCTGTCCTCCGTGGGCCTGCCCTGAGGTCAGCGGGGTCTCTTCTGAGAAGCGTCCCTGGCCCCTGGTGCATAGCACCGCATCCCCGGCCTGTCCCTGGGGTGTCTGTCTGACTCCTGTCCCCGAGCTTCTCGTGTCCTGTGCAGGGGCAGTGGGTGGGGGCGGGGGCCTCTCGGGGAGGGCTGCTCCCCACATGGGGAAGGCCCACCTGCACCTCCCTTCTCTCATAGAGCCTCGCAGCCTGGCGCCCTGGCCCTCGGACCCAAGTCCCCGCAAGGCCCTGAGGTCGCCTCCACTCTGGCCTCCCCACTCCTGGCAGCCACCCTCCCCTCTGGGGAGCGAAGAGGCTCAGAGCTGCCTGGGCCAGGCTGGGTCCCCGATGGAGGGGGCCTACTCGGTCACGACGCCGGCCACCGGGTGGGTGTCCTGGTGGGCGTGTGTGCCAGCCCCGCACGCTGCCTCCTAGCCCTGCCTGGGCTCTGCCCGCCCCTGCCCCTGGAAGTTCGCACCCCTCCCTCGCTGTCTGCCTGGGCCACAGCTGTCAGCCCAGGCCTGTCGGAGCCAGACACTGCCGTGTGGCTTTCTGATGCGTTTCCGAAAACATTGTCGTGTTCCCAGGCAGTCTGTGTTTCGGCTGATAGCAAACGAGTTTGTGTTTGGTGAGCGTGCACCAGCTGGGGCGTGCGAAGGGAGCGTGGCCGAGGCAGCGGGGCGGGCCAGTCTGTCCCCGGCAGGCAGTCTCGGGGCCTAGGGGGAGGGAGGGGACCCCTGTTCTTCCTACACCCAAAGCTGCCTTTGAGGGCACACGCCCTTGTGTCCAGCGGGGAGGACCAGGTCCACAGGGGGCGGGCGGGCGGTCAGGGTGCCGTGTTCCGGCCTCGTTCAGGTCTGCGTCCGGAGACGACGTGGAAGACGGGACGTCCCTCCTGCTGAGCACCGGTCCCGACTGGTGGCTGGGTGAGTGGGCGTGCGCCGCCTGGGCCACCGCTTGGCCAGATCAGAGACAGGCCTCGAGGCCTCAGCCGGTGTGGCCGAGGGGCTGGGCAGGCGGCTGGGAGCAGCGAGGAGCCAAGATCGGGCAGGGTTTCCTGTGTGGTGCCCGGTCCTGGCGCTTGTCTCTGCTTTCCTGTTTCCTCCTCGCTGGGGGCAGGGTGGGGGAACACAAGGTGCCACGTGCGCACGTGGACCCTGTGTGTGAGCACGTGAGCATGGTGTGCACGCGGGCCCTGTGTGTGAGCATGTGAGTGTGGTGTGCACGCGGGCCCTGTGTGTGAGCATGTGAGTGTGGTGTGCCCACGGGCCCTGTGTGTGAGTGCGAGTGTGGTGTGCCCACGGGCCCTGTGTGTGAGTGCGAGTGTGGTGTGCCCACGGGCCCTGTGTGTGAGCATGTGAGTGTGGTGTGCACGTGGGCCCTGTGTGTGAGCAAGTGTGGCACATGGGACTGGTTGTGTGTTACCTGTAAGTCAGGGCTTGTGCCTTTTTTCTATGCAACGTCCCCACAAAGGCACCTGGACGGGGAAGGAGTGGGATGTCTGTAAGGTTCAGGGCTGGGGACACGCCTTTCTCTGTGGCCTGGTGGGTATTCTGGGGGCCACCCACCCCCCAAGGCCCTCGGGAGCCAACGGCTTCCAAGGCAGGCAGGACAGACAGGCAGAGGTGGGCCTCTCTGCGCCTTGACCCCGCATTTGACCGCCACACGCCCCCCAGGTCCCCAGGCTGACGTGTCCCGTCTCTGATGTTTCCAGGGTCTCTGGAGGGCAGAGGCGCCGGCGTCCCCACCAGGAGCGCGGTCAGGAGCAGCCTGCTGGACAGGGCAGAGCCGAGCTTCCTGGCAGACGCCGGGCCAGGCCCCCAGGAGCCCCTGGACGGCCCCCCGGAGCCCTGGGGCCCGGACACTGGCTGCCTCGGCCTGGCCCCGCGGGAGGAGGTGGACGGTATCTTCCCCGACTTCTTCGCCAGCTAGGCGGCGGGACGGGGACCCGCCGCGCGTGCCGTGTCTTGTGCCAGGCAGCTCATCCCTGGTTTGAGGGGTGGCTGCTCTGCTCGGCGAGGCTGGCGGAGTATTAAAAGCGGTGCGCCTGCGGAATCCAGCCGTTCCAGAGCTTTTGTGCAGTCAGCGCGGTTCGCCGGGCATGTGGCACCACTTCCGCTCTGAGCGCGGCCACCTGCCTGGGGCTTTGTTCCTGAGACGGACTTGGCCTCGTGAAGTCCCCGAATAGCCCCGCGGTCTGGGGAGGCTTCCAAAGGATGGGGACTTGTGTGCTCTGGGCCTGCTCCCCAGAGACGCGGGCGGGAACCCCACTTGTCACGCCCTGTCCAGGGTGTCCCCGAAAGGGCCAGCTGCCATCTTTGAGGCAGGGGCCTCTGCACCCTTCACACGAGGCGTCGGGTGCCTGGCACAGAGGTCGCCTGGTGGGGCCCAGCACTGTCCCAGCTGCTCCTGACCTCTGGGGCCCGGGGCAGGGCTGGGTGACCGGGAGGAGCGTCCCAGGCCCCTGGGGTCAAGGGCAGTGGACCCTGCCCTGCATGGCTTTGAGCCATGGCAAAGGCAGGTGCCAGTCTCCGAGCCAGGCTGGCGGGGGGCTCACCGCACCGGAGGCTCTGGGCTCCAGCTCCCGTGCCCTGAGCGCTCGGGGCTCCAGAGGGCTGTCTGCCGTCCAGGACAGCGGCTTCTCCTGAGTGGGCTCCAGGCCCCATCCAGGCTGCTTGCTTCACACCTGAGTGTGTCTTTGTCTCAGTAGCTGGAAAGTTCCATTCATTCTGTGTGTGAGTCACCACAGACAATGGTGACAAGCTAGTGGCGTGGGATGGAGGCGCTGGCGGAATGAGCCCTGGTGGAGCTGGAGGGGAACCAGGCAGGACTTGGGGAGAGGCCCCGGGGGAGGCCACAGCAGGGAGGCTCTTGCCCCAGAGCACGGTCCTCAGGACCTCCTCGGTGGTCATGTGGGGGCGTATATGCAAGCACTTCTCGAGGGTAGCACGGGGTGGGACAGCGCCTTAGGCAGGGTGGGGCCCTGTGGGTGCCCGGTCCTCACCCTTGCACCCGGAGCGCAGCGCGGGTGACTGTTCGCTGTCTGGTGTGTGAGGGCCGAAGCCAGAACTGGGGCCCTGCCCCTGTGGGTCTCCCGTTCCCTGAGCCCAGGCGGGCCCGGGGCAGAGTTGTTGAGCCCCGCCTCCCCCACCTGGGAGCAGGGGTCAGGTGCAGGCTCCGTGGAAAGCCCCGGGTGGTGCTGGGCAGGCTGACCTAGAACGGTCTTACCCAGAGCCCCGGGCAGTGCGCCGTGCCCTGCGCTGACCTCAGGTCGGCACCCAGTGAGGGAGATGGGAGTCCGACTGAGGCGCGGGGGAAGAGACGCTACCCTGCCCCTCCGCCAGGCCTTCTGCAGAAGGACAGGGCCTTCTGTCGGGGGGCAGCTCCCTTATCTTGGGGAGGGGCCTGAGAGCGGTCTTGAGACCCAGGGAGAGCAGTGGTTGATCCGTGACACCTGCTCCCAGCCCCCCAGCGGGGCCAGAGTGGCCGCAGCCAGCATTCAACTCGGCTCTGGCCGTGTGGTCCCACGGACCCTGGCCTGCAGGCTCCGGGAACGCGGGCGCAGAACCCCGTCACTGAGCTGGCGGGGACCTGGCCTCCCTCGGATGGACCGTGACGCACGGGGGAGTAGCGGGTGGGGCCCCCGTTTGGCTGGCGCCCCCCCCCCCCCCCAGAGCTGGAGGAGAGCGGGGCTGCCACACGGCCTGGTCTGGTCGGGCTTGGCTGGGGCTGGAAGGAGCTTCTGGGGAGCAGCTTTCGCCCCCACCCTCCTCCTTTCCGGCCCTTTGCGAACCAGATCGCAGCCCTCGGTGGCGCGGATTGTAATTGTGTGTGTTCAGGAGTAGGTTAGGAAACCGTCCCTCGGGTGATTGCAGGCTGGTGATTATGGGCTTGTTCTCTGGGTTGTGGGGGCGGGGGTGGGGCCGCGTCAGCGCGACCTCCACAGCTCTCAAGGTGACCTGCTTCCCTCCTCACCGCCCCCGCCGGGGGTCCTGTTTGCCTGCGAGTAGGACACACAGAAGGGATGCAGCTCAGCAGGACCTCCATACCCTCAGGCCACACCCCCAGGCCCTGCACTTGGACGGGAACATTTTAGAGGGACAGCACCCACACCTGGGGTCTGGTGCCCATCAGCCTTTGGGCGGAGAGCTGACTGCTCCTCACTGTCGGCCCACCCTCCCCAAGCCCTGCACCCCGGCAGCCTGGGCTCCTCTCCGTCCTGCCCTCCACGCCTTTCCTCTGCCCTTCCCGCTCCTTGCTTCTCCCAGCCGGGCCACTGGGGTCATGGTGAGCTGGTGTGCTGGTCGGGGTGCTCGGTGCTGCTCCGTGATTGGTGTAACCCACGGCAGTGTAGCCCTGTGGATGCTTGGATCCTGCCCTGGAGCCCCGGGGCGGCTGTGCCGGCTGCTCTGCCGCTGGGGAGGAGGCGCACCCTGGGCCCCCCTTGCCCCCAGGCTCTGATCTGGTCTTGGCAGCAGGGCCGTGTTCTCTGTCTCCCATCCCAGCTGCCCGGTGAGGGAGGGAGGGAGAGGGAATCGTCACGAGACCCGTGCTTGGCTGGCCCGGCCTCACTGTCCCCCCACATGACACCCCTCAGGGGGCCAGAGACCAGCTGCGAGCTGCGTGCCTCCCATCGGCCCCGTGACAGCCGGGACACCTGGTCATCCCCCGGCGGGCGCAGATGTTCCCAGCCCGTCACCTGAGCACAGTGGGGTGCTCACAGCGGGAAAGGGGCCCCCAGGCCTGCTCAGAGGATGATGGGACGAGTCCCTTTGCCCTTACTGCCCCCCTAGCCGCCCCCCCCAGGTGCTGGCAGGGCATCGGAGCCGGGGACGAGGGCCAGCCACCCTGGGCCTGTCCTGGAGGAAAGGAGGCGGGGCTGGGGGCTCCGGGGTGAGAGCGACTCAGGCAGAGTGAAGAGGAGCAGGGAAACGGGGCACCCCCAGGCCACGGCCGCGCTGCCCCGGGATGCGGGCTGGCGGCAGAGCAGATGCAGAGTGGGAAATGGGAATGCCTGGGCGTCCGGGGCCCGAGGCGGGGGCGGGATTTGGAGAAATGAGCTGGAAGGCCAGGGCCCTGGGGGGCTGCAGGTGGGAATACGGCTTCTGATGGGGGAGACTCGGGTGGGCCCCAAGGAGTGGGGAGGGCCCCTGGGTGCTGGAGTGTGGCCTGGGGGTGGGGCCCCCTCTCCTGATGGGGGGAAGCTCCCGTTCGTCCGGGGCCGGTGCAGGCGCGGCACAGCAAGCCTGGCCCGAGAGACCACCTCCAGGGACCCCGGGCCTGGGACGCGCTGGGCTTGCTGTGGGGCAGGGAGCTCCCCGCAGTTGGGCTCCAGGGCAAGGGGAGCCTGGGGCACCTAGGTGAGCCCCCCAGGCGGCCGTGGGCGGCGCCTGCCAGGCTTTCAGGACCCCGGGACGAGTGAGGTGCAGTAGGCCGCTGCTGCCCTCGTCACTGTCCCTGCCTCCAGGGTCTCAGCCACCGTGTCTTGGAGACACAAGCGTGTGGCCAGAAGGGGCCTCTAAGCTGGGTCCCACCTGGAAGCAAGGGGCCAACCTAGGTCTCTGCTGGCCTGCTCCACCCCCGTGAGACGTGCTCCTGTCCCCACCAAGTGGCCACACCCCCTCCCAGTGTCCCGTGCCTTCATCGCTTCTGAGCGGCACCCTGGGGAACCCCAGCAGCTCCCCCACCATGTGGACGTGAGCCCACGCTGAGCTCTGCTCACTGGGAGGGTCCCTGCAGCCCTGGCCCGTGGTCACCAGCCAGAGCACCTATGTGCATAGGGCACACTCAGGGAGCAGGTGTTTATTGGACACACTGGGAAATGTCTCCAGAATTGGGGGCTGAGGGGAGAGGAGTGGTTGAAGGGCTTCTCGGGTGCACCGGGAGCTTCCGGGCCTTCCTCAGGACAATCGGGTTGTGAGGGACGCTCCTGTGAGCAAGAGGGGCAGGTGGGTTTGGGGGATGGGGGACTGACGAGGCAGATCCTGTCCCCCAATGTCCTTCTTGACTGGCCCTGAGCCTATCGACAGGCCCCAGCGCCCCAGGCTGGCACTGCCCCCACAGCCTTCGGGAGACCCTGTGGGCATCCCCACCCCAGGTCCTGGCCGTGGCGCCGGTAGTTAGTCTCCCCAAGCTGTCAGCCTCCAGCCACACCCCTCGGCTGACATGGTGGGTGTTCAGCGCACAGTGAGCAGCGCTTGCCCAGTGTCACCTGGCCTCAAGGGGACCCCGTGCCCGTCCTCTGGCCCCTCGTGCCGCAGCCCCTACAGGGTCAGAGCTCACTCACCTGGGCCCGGCGGCCTCTCTGTGGTCGGGTGTGCAGCATCAATCCGTGGCAGGAGGGCACAGGGCACGGAGCAGTAGTTCACGCCGTGCCCCCCCAACCATCCGACGCTGGGCTGGGGGTAGGTGCTTACCGGTCTAGGTCAGGCTGAGGGTGATGGCCGTGCGGATCCCATGGCTCTTGCAGTAATTCTTGAACACGTGCAGGATGCCCCAGCCCACTGTGGGGGTCCGGCCTGCAGACAGAGCGACGGGCTGTTCTCCCTCAGGGCTTTGGGACAACGGGCCGTGGGTTCTGGGAGCTTGGAGACTGCCCAGGATTTTCAGGGTGCAGGTGGGGCCGTGGGGACAGGAGCTGCCGTGACCAGGGTGGCAGGGCGTGCCCAGTGGCCCCATGGCAGGCCGGAGCAGAGGCGGGGGCCCACGGAGCCACGCCCAGCCCGTCATCTGCGCCAAAGTCCTGCTGTCTCCATTCAGCGATGCCTTTGTTTACAGCACGTGCGCACAGAGGGCCGGCGTCCCCAGGCTCGTTTAAAGGCAAGTGAGTCAATGCACCTGTGTTTGGGAGGTGCCGTGGAATGCCCGTGAAGGTGCACCCCAGCCTCCAAACTGAGCCCCACGAAGCTGACGCAAACAGCCCTGGGCCACTGCTTGGCCTCCCTGAACGTGTTTCTGCCGCGGGGGTGACCGGTCTGTGCCCCACGGCAGCCCCCACGTGCTGAGTGCTGAGACAGAACGCGGCCTGGTGCGGCCCGT